CCAGAATTGAGTGCATCCATCCCTATCTTATCAAATGTTTCATATGCATTCAATAATTGTCCACTTAATGCATCAAGCTTAGCTGCTGAAATTTTAAATGGCAATGCAGACGCTGGTCTGTTATCCATTTCATAGTGCCCAGCTGCTGTTTTATATGCCTCAGAAGCTTTATCATATTTTTTCATACTTTCATACAACTTTGCAATCTCTTGTTCTGTTTTTGCTGCTTGTGAAAATGATCCATTAGTTATATAATTCTCAACAACATTTTCAAGTGGTGCAATTGCATCTTCTGGATGTGCTCCTTTTGACAAACATAATGCTTTGTTTAATGCTGCCTTATTTGCACTTGAATTATCACCTAATTTTGTTGATAATAAATATGCACGATCATATGCCTCTGCTGCTCTGTCATATTCTTCACTAGCCTTAAATAAATTAGCAGCTTTATTAAATAATTCTGCTGCATCAGTCATGTTTGCTTCTTTATTGAAAAAAGACCATTTATTTTGGAGAGTATTTGCTTCTGCAAACATTTGTTCTGCTTTATGGTTTCTTCCTGATGTTGACATGATTTGTTCTTTTTCTTTATTTTTCTTTTATTTTTTTATTGTATTGTTTATTCTTTTTGAAAAAGCTTTAGTGGAAGAAGAAAGAGGAAAAAAGAAATCAATTAATGACACATCCTCTCTGATGAGAGGAATCTTCTTCATCTAGTTCACGAGGACCTTTTTTATTAATATGAGTATAAAATACATAAGGTTGTTGTTTAGTACTCAGATAGTTTTTGATAACAGTAACGGACTCAGGTAAAGGAGGAAGTATAATTTTATCATCATATTCATTAAGTATGATTTGTTTAACATTTTCAAATTCAGTTAATCTCGTTAGCGAATCTTCATGTAAATAAGTACAATCCACAACTAAGGATGTAATTTCTTTTTTTGATGGTTCAACCCAAAAATTAAGGTATTGGACTTCAAATTTAATGTCATGGCAAAGTGAGATATCAATTGTGTTAACACCATTACCAACTTTTACTTTCTTAATATTTTTTGGAAGAATGAATGTATATCCATTACCTGATGTTCCTATTTCTACCTCTTCTAAAGAGTCAACCATTGATATATCAGTTACTGTTTTACAAGAATGAAGCATTACTTTTGCTGGATAATATTTTTTCCAATCTCTAATAAATAAATCTAAATGACCTCCATCTATTTGACAAAAAGATAAATAAGAAACTAATGTCTTTGGTTCTCTAGTAAGTGAATTTGTAATAAGGACAATATTTTCGTTAGGAGAACTTTTTTGAATTTGATTACCATATACATATAGCTTTCTGTTCCAATTTGCTACTTCAACAAACCATTTAGAAGCTAATAATGATTCTACATTAGGAGGTTTACAACTAAAACTAATTGATCGTACACATACTCTCTTAAGTTTTGAAAGGTCTTTAAGTTCATGAAATCTCCATTTATCAAAGAATATTTGATTAAGAGTAAGATATCCATCATAAAAATGAACCCAACTCTCTCCAGATAAATCAAAAGTTATGTCTTTTAAATTAATAAATGTTTTCCAGTGTATTTCAAAATCACTTCTACTTGTTACTAATTTAAGTTTAACTATTCTATTTGCACAACTCACTAATTCTTCTATAACTGTATTCATTTCTCCTTGTGATGCCCCATGCTGTACAGGTAAAATCAAAATAGCATTTAAGTTACATTGAAAGTCTTTAATATATTCAAATGACCCAGTGACAGTTTCTAAAGATGAACAATCCTTGAATATTTGTAATTCTTTTTTTTGTGTTTTGAATGAATAATTAGGGTTGGTATGCATCATTTGGAACGACTCATAACAATTCTTACTAATTTGAAGAAAATTAATTAAGTCATCTACTGTTCCTAAATAAAAAATAATATTCATCAAATACACACGTTCTAATTTCTTCATTGGTATAAGAATTGAATAGAATATCTTTTAGTTATAAGTTCAAATTATCTTATTTTTCTTAATCTTAAATTAACAAAGTCTTTCTATCTAAAATGCGTTTATCATCTTTCTACTAAAAGGCAAGTAAAAATAAAAATAAAATAAGAATATTTATTTTTTGCTAAACAAATGGATAAATAAAAAAACTTCAGAATTTATCTACTAATACCTTTTTATTGATTTTATCTAAAACACCTTTCTTCTTGGTTTTTTTTATAACACAAACAACTAATTAATAAATTAAAAAATTTTTAATAAAAATAATTTATCTCTATTAAAGTGTTGTTATCTTTATGACAATCAAACTGATTTATTACTATAAATCTTAAAAAAAAAAACAATTGTTTTTAAAGCATTAAAGTCAGTTAGAGAGGAGAGTCTTACAATTGTTTAAACACAGTTTTTCTTCATCTAATAAAATATATTATTTGTGTTATTAATAACAGTTTAACAAACTTATAAATAGCATAATATCTTTATTAAAATAAGATAGAAAAAAGGTTTTGAAAATTGGAAGAAATCGGGAAAAAGTTATTTATGTTTTGGATTTGAAAAAAGGAACTATAAAATATGATTGTTATGATCTTGTTGTTGCTTTTCATTAATCTTGTGTCATCTCAATTTTTGAGTATTAAATCTCATATTGACGAAAGCAAAATCAAAACGTTATTACGAGTTGATGGAGAAATTACATCAAAAGGAATTTTATTAACAACAGAGTCTAAAAAAGACGGACTTATTTCAACAATAAAAGTTTGGTTATTTTATAACTTACACTAAGAATTTAGCACTAACATACATAGACACTTCCAACTAATTTTCAAATTAATGGAAAAATAAAGTCTGATGGTATTGGAAAAGGATTTGCATTATGGCTAACAACAAAACCAATTGTTTCTGGGAATAATTTTGGAGGTAAATTTACTGAGTCAAGTGAAGGGATTTATGTAAAAGTACCAACAGACTCATTAAGAGGAACAACAACAATCAGTAATTCAGAACGACAATTATCCCAATGTACTTTTCCTAGTTCCATTAATTTTGAAAGTATTTCATTTGAATTAAAGTATACAGAGAAAACAAATAAGTTAATTATTTCAATAGGAAAAGACAAAGGAGGATGTGAAATGACATATGAAGGGAAATTAAAACATATGTATTTTGCAATATCTGCATTGGATGATAAAAATGGTGGAAATCATCAAATTAAGTCACTTGAAATTATTGATTTAAAGAAAAAAACAAAAAGTACTAAAGAGTTATTAGGAAATGATAAAAGTATTAATGGATTAAATTTTGGTTTTACTGAAAATGAATTATTTGGTGATGGAAATGATATTGATTTAGCATTACAAAAAATGTATTTAGTGTTAGGAAAAGTTCAACAACAAGCAAGTAACTTAGATAAACTAAATGATGAAAATTCAAATTTAATGAAAATTATTATTAATGGAGCAAAACATTTAAATGAAATGTTAAAGAGTCAAGAACTTATCATTGATACAAGTGATATTCTTGTTGATGTAGATACATTTATGGAAAGATTAAGAGCTATAGAAGAAATTACAGGAACAACAACAACTGATCTTAAGATTTTAATTTCAACAACAATTAAATCTAACAAAAATGTAACAAAAAATAATGAAGCATCTACACATACATTCTTTTGGATTTGTTTCTTTTTAATGCAATTTTGCACTGTTGTATTGGTCTTAAATTTATTGAAGAAGAAGAGAGATATGAATCAAAGAAAAGCAATTTAAATTTTTTAATTAAATTTTATTTTCATTTAACAGAAATAAATTAAAACATATTTATTTAATTCTTGACATAATAAATGAGAATGGGTTTATTTTAGATACTGTAGATTTAATATTTGTAAAGAAATTTTGTGATAATTCTGGTGAAGTAACTTGAGAAGAATAATACTTTTCTTGTTTATCAATATTATTTTCAAGAAGTGTATCTTTTTTATAATTATCATCTTTTAAAGAAGGAAATATCTTTTCATCATATTCATTTGACTCAAATATTGGAGATAAAGATATTGATTGAGAATTAAATAACTTAGAGAGTGTATCTAAGATTAATTGATAATTAACTGTTTTTGAATTACAAATAGATGATTCAAATAATAATGCAAGTGATAATGGAATTAAAGAATGATTAAATAAAGAAAAGGATTTGAACTTTATTTTTAATTGATAAATTTCATGTGGATTTGAAATAGTATCCCATGGTAATATTCCTGTAATATTTTGATAAAAAATATAAAATAAAGGAATTATATCATCAATTGGAATAGATTTCTTTCCTAAATGTTGATTTGGAGATGCAAATTTAAGGCTTCCTTTAAATCCTAACTTTTGATGACAAGAAAAATCTTGATAATATTCTGATAAACCAAAATCAATCAAAATTATATCTCCATCTTGAGATATCATAAAGTTATCAGGTTTTATATCACAATGAAGTATTTGTTTTGAATGGATATATTCAAGAATTTTTATCATTTTATATAATAGTCTAAAAGATGTTTGTACAGAAAATCTTAGTGTTGGTTGATTTAATCGAAGTTGGTTAAGATTCATTATATGTAATTCAAATACTAAACAATATCCATATAATTCATATCCACATTCAAAAAATCGAATAATACTTTTATTTCCTTGTAATTTTTTAATGATAGTAGTTTCATTTAATGCATTACTTTCTTCATTAATAATTTTTATTGCAGCACTCTTATTTGTTTTTGTATTCAAACAACGAAATACATTCCCTAATTTATATAAATTGTCTTTATTCTATTAAATAAGTTACTTATTCATACAAACCATACGTTCCACTACCAAGTGGTTCTTTTATAATCCAATCATGAAACTGTTTTTGTGTCTCCATCTTAATAACAGAAGCGATTTAAAATTAATTTAGAAATCGTATGTATCTTTAATCTTTTTCCTTTTATCTTAAAAGTGGATTTCCAATTTAAATATTGTTTTTTTCTTTGAAAGAATCAAAGGAAAAATGAGTCAATGTGAATATTCTCTTTTATTCTTTCTTCTAAAAATATTATTTCCTTTCTCTTAAACTTTTCTTTCATATTTCTAAAATAACACATTTTTATTCAACAATAATCTATTTACCCTCTTCTAATTTCAATAAACAAATTTTATGTTATTTAAACACTTATAAAGAAAGTAGAGAAAAGAAGAATGGATTAATATAAAAGGATGTATATAAAGTACTAATACTTAAAAAGTAGTTAATTAAGTAGTATTACTTTTATTTTCTTATTGTTCTTTGCTCACATGAGACTAGTCATATCCCTGTGATTTAAGAATGATGACTTATCAACTATTCACTTATTTTTTTGTTTTTCATCACATTAAGGGGTGTGATTTTCTATTCTTTATTCTTTCGTTTTGACTGAACAAATGTCTTTTCAATTCTGTCAACTTATATTCTTCATTTAAGTACCTGTCTCATCTTTATTTGAATTTTAATGAATGTTAAAACTCCTTTTTCTTTACTTTCTTATTTTATGTTGGATGAACATACCATTACATTCATAATTCATAATTTCATTCAATATCATCACTACACAAACCTTTTTCTTTTGACAATATATATACTATCAACTACACTTACATCTTAACAAATAAATAATACTATTGTTTTAATAAATGTTCATTCTTCTATTATAACAAATGATATTTTCATCATCATAACTAATAATCAATTCCAATATCAAAATATTGATTAATATGTTTTCTTTCTAAAAGTAACATCATTATCAGTTGATAACAGGTAATTCAATGCATTGTTTCATTTTAATGTTTGTATGATGTTTCTGAAGTGCCACGTTAAGTTTGAAAGATGTTATTATAAAATAAAAAGGAAAAATTTTAAAAGAATCTTAAAAGAAAAAATCTTAAATAAGAAAACCAACACATATGCCAAACCCCACCGTATTTATTGCTTTTCAACAGCCAATAAAAAAAGCAATTGTTTGCAATGACTTGTATGACTCGGTAATAAGATTCGGTAAAATTCAAAGAATTATTTGTATGAACTCACACCGCCCTGATATGCCCCATTCATTAATAGAATTTGAATCACCAGAGTCAAGTAACAAATGTATTGAATATCTCAAAACTAATCCCCTCCCAATTCTTAATTATAAGTGTAGAGCAGAAGTAAGTAATGCCGAGTCATTAAATGTTAAAACTGAGAGTCCACAAGCACATGACTATACTATTAGTCCTAGATTTGGACATGAAGCTCCAATAACAAGAGTCTTACTTGTTAATGAATTACCACGATATGTAACTCCACAATCCCCTTTTCATTTTTATAATCTTTTTTCATTATATGGATCTATTATTAAAGTTAATGTTCTTAGCGAAAAACGTACTGCAATGATTGAATACTCCTCTATTGAAGACACCATTAACGCATATCAAAACCTATCTAATGTAAAATTTTTTGGTTCACGACTTATTGTTAAACATAGTAAACACGATAGTGTAGCAGCACCTCCTGGGATTTGGTGTAAATACTTTCAACCATCAAAACTTTTACTTCATTCTACTGCCCCTAGTGTGTTTGTTAAGTTTATTCAACTTCATCCCATTATTGCATGCAGCCCAAACACTCCAATGGCATTATGTCATTACTTTGACCATTATTTTGTTCCACGCCCCGTTGATGTTTTTTTTGATTCTCCAACGTTTGTTTTTCATTCTGTCTATTTTTCAATAAAATGAAAGAATGCTCATGTATAAGAAGTGGTGTGTTTGCATTTAAAACAACACAAGATGCAGTTATTTGTGTTTCTATTCTAAATAATAAAAATGAAAATGGAATATTACTCAAATTAGCTTTTGTTTCTGAGCCACCACAAGTTTCTCCGTCAAATATAAAATATGGATATTCACAACCACACCCAATGAGTCGTATGTCTGCCAACCAACCAATTCTTCCTGCACAACCAATAACCCCATTTCAACCAATGCTTCTACCTCAAACTATTCCTTCCCAAAACCTTCCACCTCAAAGCCTTCCTCCACAAAATCTTCCTCCACAAAGTCTTCCTCCACAAAGTCTTCCTCCACAAAGTCTTCCTCCACAAAGTCTTCCTCCACAAAGTCTTCCTCCACAAAGTCTTCCTCCACAAAGTCTTCCTCCACAAAGTCTTCCTCCACAAAGTCTTCCTCCACAAAGTCTTCCTCCACAAAGTCTTCCTCCACAAAGTCTTCCTCCACAAAGTCTTCCTCCACAAAGTCTTCCTCCACAAAGTCTTCCTCCACAAAGTCTTCCTCCACAAAGTCTTCCTCCACAAAGTCTTCCTCCACAAAGTCTTCCTCCACAAAGTCTTCCACCTCAAAATATTCCATCACAAAATATTCCATCACAAAGTGTTTCATCACAAAGCCTTCCATCACAAAGTCTTCCACCTCAAAATCTTCCTTTTCAACAGTCACAATTAACTAATCCATATTCTTCCTATAAACTAGAATCCCAAAATAACAACCAACCATATTCATTAAATGAAACTGAAACAACAAAACCAATTAAGCCACCAACACACTATTACAATTATTCACAATGATTTATTTAACTTATTCTAATAAGTCTTTTTTTAAAATAAAAAAAGAACAATTAAAGATTTGTGTCACAGGTACTACTTTTTTAAATTAAAATAAGAATAGAGAGAACAATGAATAATATCATTACTGAGGTAATTCCATTAAATTCTGATGGATCAACTTGATAAAAAATATGAACTGGTTCAATAGGATTAATAACTTTTAAATATGTTGAATTTTGACTATACCAGAATGAAGAATAACTTGAAATCATATAATTAAAGTAATTTACATAAATAGGAATTTCAGTTGAGTTACCAGTTAACTTAAATTTAACTTCAATTGTTTTGTTGTTAATTTGGTCTTTAGTAAAAGCCTTTACAACAACCACATCTCTAGACATAGAAACATTTGTATTTTTGTTTTTAAGTTCATAATTATATGCATTACATATTTCATTTTCGAGTTCATATCGGAATAAATTCTCTTTTAAAATAACATCCTTTTCAAGCTCAATTACAAAACTAAATCCAACACTTAAACCATTTGAAGATGGAACACATCCTCCTTTATTATCTCTTTTCCATCCAAAAGCACATGAACAATTCAGTTCACACCCACTTCCTCCATCACACTCTTCCCATCCTGCGAGTATTTCATCACCACACACTAATATTATTATTGAGTTATAAAGAATCAAAACAATATAATAACCAAACTTGGTAAGCACTTTCTATTATATTCATATAATCCTTTTGAACATTTTATACCTAATGTTGAGAGTATTAGTAACCAAAATATCATTTAACAATTTCATAGTTCAATCTGTTCAACTTTTTTAATGAAACCAAAAATCTTCATTTTTAAATTGAAAATATACTCAATAAAATAATAAAATTATAATTTAACAGAATAATTAAATTAAAACACTGAAAAAAAATAAAAAAATTCTTAAAATAAAAAAAAATTAATTGGTAAAGCAATTTTAATTTGCCCAAATTCTCAATGTCGAATCCCATGAACCAGTACACAATGCATAACCATCTGGTGAAACACCAAGGCAACTTACTCTATTTTCGTGACCAGTTAATTTGGTAATATAATCTCCTTTAAGAACATCCCACCATAAACATCCTAAATCATCATAACCACAGAATAAATATCTTCCTGTACTACTAATAGCTACACTAGTCACACCATGTTGCATTGATTCTGATGAATAATTCATTAACTCTCTATCAGCTCTAATATCAAATAATTTACAAGAAAAGTCATCACTTCCTGTGATAAAAGCATTACCAGATGGATGGAATGCAATAGCATTGATATCTGCATCATGTCCAGTAAATGTAGCAACACAATTTTCCATACGAATATCCCATAATTTAGCCATACTATCACATGCACCTGAAACAAAAGTGTTTTGATCTGGTGATACAGAAACACACATAACATCAGCTTGATGGTCTTTAAAATCCATAATTTTAGCAGACTGTTCAACATCCCATAAGCAACAAGTAGAATCTCCTGATGAAGTTAAAATACGATTTTCATCAACATACCTCATACAAGAAATGTATCCAACATGCCCTGCTAGTTCTGCTGTAGTATTATTTAATGGTTCACTTGAAGATGATTTGGGTGCAATCGAATAAATGGACACAATATTATCAAGACCACCACAAGCAACAAATTTCATAGAAGGGGCATAGGCACATGTCATAACCCATGAACTTCTAATACGAATACAATGAATTTTATTTGTTGTTTGACCATCCCATGTAAGCATCAATCCATCTTGGGAAGCAGAAACAAGATGAGTAGAATCACTTGCCCAATGCATAGCATAAATTTTAGAAATATGACCTCTTAACCCACGTTTAAATTTAACGTGGTCACTCCTTGAAATACCTGGAATTTCTGATGTAAATTTTTTCACTTTTATGTTAATATCTTTTCATTAAACTAATAAAAAATTAAACTATTATATAACAAACTTGTTGTGTCTTCTTTAGCCTCCCTATTTGCACGGGTCTCTTCTTTAATTTGATCGATCTCTTTTCTTGTTTGTATAATTTTGGCTTGTAAATCTTCTGCCATATAAGTTAATGATAACTTGATTTTTAAGATTTCTATATTTTTTTTCTTTTTTTGAATAATCTATTTTTATTTCTCTCCTTCGATTAGGTGGGATATAAATATATTTTTTAATTGTTTTTATTATATTCAATTTCAGTTAAAATTAATTTATTTTTTTTCTGGAATTGTACTTGATTAGAATAAATTAATAAATTAATATTTGTTATTTAAATCAAAATATTAAATTTTACTTTATGGTATTGCTTTCTCTATTTAAAAATAAATGAATTATAGACTCTTGTAACGTAGAAAAGATGAATTGGTTATAACTTTTCATTATATTAATAATTATAAACAAAAATAAGTTTAGCATTTAGAAGAAGACACTTAATCAAGGAACTTAATTAATACTATTTCTTCTATTGTTATATTTTCTTTCATTAATTAGAGAATCTCTCCTATAGAACAAATTTATTCTTCAATATGATGAATAAAAAATATGACTTATCTTAAACAACTGCTTCTAAAATATTTTTTTAGGAAAGTTTCAAGTTAGTATGATTCTTTTTAGGGTACGAAAATTAGCAAAGAAAAAATGCATCTAAATAATTTACAAAAATGAAAAAAGATGCAAAATAATTTGCATCCATAGAATTTTCCATTTATTATATTTTGCTCCTAAAATAAAAATAAAAAGTATGATAAATATACAATCTGTATATATTTATGTTTATATTTTATAATCATTTGTATTCATTTTGTATGAAATATTAATGAAATAGATTATTTGATTATTCATATTTATTTTTATTCTTTTTATTCTTTTCTTTATATGTTATTTATCTATCGTATTTTTATATTTTTATTTCTCTGTTTATATTATTTATATCATTGTATTCTTCTTATTATCTATATATTATTATATTATTCTTATTTTATGTTTTTATGTTTATATTATTTAGATTTTCTTATTTTTATGTTTATATTCTTTTCTATTTAGTTGTATTTGTTTATTCATCTTTATCATTTTTATATTATTATCATTTATATCTATTTTCAATTTATATTTATTCTCTTTTGTTTTATATTAATATTAATATTATATTTTATATTTTATACTTTTTATTTATTATTATATCATTGATTATCATTTCTCCTTTTATTTATCATTTATTCTTATTATTCTTTTATTTTATATTCTATGTTATATATTCATATCATTGTCATTTATATTTTATTACATATTACATGTTATAATAACATAACACTTATGTTTAATTATATAATAAATATCATGATGAAATTATACATATAAATAATAACATAAAAAAGAGTAAAATATTTTTCATTAATAAAATAATATTAATTATTTTACATCATTAAATTAGACACTTTTATTGAATATTTCTAATTTTTACAATAAAAATACACAATTTATTTCTTCTTTTCATATTTTATTACATCTTTGTGATTTATTATTTTTATATTCTTCTTCTACTTTCTTTTTATTCTTTTATATATTTATATTCTTTTTATATTATTTGTTTTTCATTTGTTGTTTCTATTTCTTTCTTC